ATCCTCATCCCAGCCGCTTCACTTCCACGGCTATGTGGACCAAACTCGCGCTCCTCTGGTAAAGGGACTGAATAGCCCTTAACAGAAAGCCACCCACCCCATACTCCTGGAGCGTCCCCCACAAGGTGCCCCTGGGGACACGGTCATAAGCCTTCTCCAAATCCATAAAGCACATGTGGATTGGTTGGGGAAACTCCCATGCCCCCTCCATCACCCTTGCAAGGGTATAGAGCTGGTCCACAGTTCCACGGCCAGGATGAAAACTACATTGCTCCTCCTCAATCTGAGATTGAACTATCGATAGGACCCCCCTCTCCAGTACCTTGGAGTAGACCTTTCCAGGGAGGCTGAGGAGTGTGACCCCCTATAGTTGGAACATACCTTCAGGGTCATCCTTCTTAAAGATGGGACCACCACCCCGGTCTGCCACTCCCTAGGAACTGCCCCCAATGACCACGCAATTTTGCAGAGACGTGTGCAACACGACAGCCCTACAACATCCATAGCCTTGAGATACCCAGGACAAACCTCATCCACCCCCGGGGCTCCTTCGCTGTGTAGTTGTTTGACTACCTCCGCAACTTCTGCCCCCAAGATTGGACAGTCCATCCCCAGGCCTCCCGGCTCTGGTTTCTCCTCGGAATGCGTGTAGGTGGGATTGAGGAGCTCCTCAAAGTATTCCTTCCACCGTCCGACTATAGCCCCAGTTGACGTCAATAGCTCCCCATCCCCACTGTAAACAGTGTAAGCGAGTTGCTGCCTTTCTCTCCTGAGGCCCCGGACAGTTTGCCAGAACCTCTTTGGAGCCGATCGATGGTCTTTCTCCATGGCTTCACCAAACTCCTCCCACGCCAGAGATTTTGCCTCGGCAACTGCCACTGCTGCACCCCGCTTGGCTATCCGGTACCTGTCTGCTGCCTCCGGAGACACACAGACCAGCCACTTGTAAAAATGAAAATATTACCACTCTGGTGAAGTACTGTAACCTTTTTTGGTAACAGTTTCCTCCACCTCTCTTTGCTGCAACATCTTGTTTAAGTCGCATAGCTGTCTTGGTGACAGAGCGTGCCAGGGTCTGTGTTTGTGATTGGTTGGGATGACTCTAGTTGGAAGTTATCAGATAAAGAAAAGAAACTTTTTATTGAAGTTTGTATTGACCCTTTTTTTATTGCACACACACACACACACACACACACACACACACACACACACACACACACACACACACACACACACACACACACACACACACACACACACACACACACACACACACACACACACACACACACACACACACACACACACACACACACACACACACACACACACACACACACACACACACACACACACACACGCATGCACAGATGTTCCAGTTGCATTTGAGAGGCAGAGGGGTCTTTGAGGTCAGATAGGGTGATGTCAGACTCACAACAGTCTAGGAAACTAGATTGCTCTGATACAACAAAGAAGGTCCATTGTTTACATTGTAGCAGTGCTGCCGACACAAAAGTACCATCAGTTCAAATTTTCAAAGTCAAGAGAAAAAAAATGAAGTAATAAGGAACAGAACTGGCATTAATTTGTCATTTTGTTACAACATGAACATTATTATGTTTTGCACCAGTTAAAATGTGAAGCATTGCACATAGTTTTGTCTACTTTTATTGAGCCTTTTGAAGATATTTTTTTGTTGTTAAATGGAAAAAATATCAAAAGCAGTTATTAAATTTTTTTTAATGAATTATTAAAAATTTTTTTATGAATTGTTAGGTTATTTTACATTTACTGATGCCAAAAGATGGAAAGAAAGTGATGAGAGAACTGAAGCTAGAGAGGAACAAAAAGAGTGGGATTAAGAAATGACACACAAACAAATCCCCTCCAGCTCTCTCTTATCTGGCTGTCAGCAGTCCAGACTCACTGCTGCTGCTGCTGCTGCCTCTGTACTGTCCAGCACACACACAGTGTTGCTGTGATCACCTGATAGTCTCATGTTGTTGTGTGAATTTAGTTCACCACTATTCTTAGACCCTGCTGTGGCTGGCAGAGGAGAAGGAGAGTGGGAAAGGGCTGGGGAAAGACCCGCACACACACAATAATGCTCAGGTAGGAGTTGGTGACATTTACCCTGGCTTGTGTGCATCTGAGTTGTCATGGTGATGTTGGGGAGTGTTTGAGGGCATGCTTTGTTTTCTTAGATTCACTTTGTTTTAGCCCGAGTGTTGACCGCCTCGGTCTTTTTAACCATTTGGAAAAGAGAAAGTAGGAGTTTAGTTTGTCAGCAACAGAGTGATGGACAAAGTTAATTCTGTCGGTTGTGATTGTGTGGCTTATGAGGATTTTAAGGAAGCATTGTTTTAGGTTTTAGCACATTGTTTGGGTGGAATTGAGAGCAATGATTCTGCACTTTAAATACCATCCAGGTTATGTTTGATGTCCAGTTGGAAGGTGGTGGATAAATAAAAGAAATCACAGTCCTGATTGGATTTTATTTAATTTTACTTTTATGATGTAAAATTTGAAAGGATTAGTTTTGTTTGTGTTTTAAGCAACAGTTTGTTCCAGGAAACAAATACCTCATGACTTTGAGTCACTATCGGTTATTGAAGTCGGACTAGTACGGGTTTTTAGCAGTCACAAAGTAAAGCACTGCTTTTATGAATGACCCTCTTCTGTTTATCAATGCTGTGACTGTCACAAGCTCACTAATACATCCACCATTTTCTATCACACTTGTTTTTCTTTCACATTTTGTTTTCTTTATAGAACTTTGCTTTTTCTTACCTTTTCAGAGCATCTGTGCTTAATTCTGCATTTCCCCCAATTTTCTTGTAATGTCATCTAAAAAAATCAAACTTTTTTTTTTAGATTTTGTCTCGTGGGTTTTCCGTCATCCTTAATCTTCTCATTTAGCATTTTTTATAGATGTGCTTGAAACGAAAGCAGCACCAAAGTTTACACAGTTCTTTGGTTTCATAGGGAAACAGGCGTAGGTGGTTGTGGCTTAGTTATAAATAGGTTCCTTTTAATTATGAGCAGTGTTGGAATTCGTTTATTGTTTGAAACTTTTTTTTATGATGTTGAAAGTTTAAGGTTTTGGTAAGATGGCCTGATCCATGACGTGTGTGCTCATACAACAAACAGTGGCTACACACAATGCAACAGGCACCTAATTCATGAATAAATCACCCATGAGACGCTGTAGTCCAACTGCAAGGATGCATGTGACAGACTTAAACAACAGTCTGTGCAGTCTTGCACTCAAATCAACAAGATTGATATCGGCTCAGCTCCATATAATGCAATTTGAGCCCATTACGTAAGCCAGAGAGGCGTTACGTCACACGTGAAGTACTCCGACTGGGTAAGAGGTCTTCCCTCGGATACGAGCCAAGAAAACCAAGGGTGGGTTTGGGTTGTGGAAGACGGTCAAACATTAACTTCCAATAACCACATTCCAGAGAAAACCCCAGACATCAATATGGGAACAACACATGACACAAGAGGAACTATTTAACGGAAAGTTTATCGGTTATACTGCAGAGAAAATGTCAACATCTTGAATTTGCAACAAAGGGAAGGAAAGAGCTGAAACGTCCAAAACTGCTCCGTAACCCTAACCCACGGAAAAGCTGCGTGGCCAGTCCACCACTTAGCTGATTTTAAACTTGAATTTTCCAAATGTTGTGGTTTATTTGGGGTAGATGAACAACAACCATTGGAGCCTCGGGGACAGATGGGTGCCTTGTTTCTAGAGACATAAGATAAACGTGTGTCTGAGAAAGGCAGAGAAGTCATTCTGCTGTATTCACAACAAATACAGAGTGAAAATGTGTAATCTTAATGTTGGGCTGTGGTCGAATACGCCCCGTTATTCTTTATTTATTTATTTATTTTTACGCAAAAAAGCAAATAATCAGTTTAATTAAAATGTTTCTTGCGTGGGATTTTAATGTTAAAGGAGACGTAACGTGGAAATTAGTCCAGTTTGCTGCAAATGACTCATGTTCTTTTGCTGGTTTCCTTCCTAAATCATTTCACCTGCAAGAACGCGTGATATTTTGACAACGATGTTTGGTCCATGCATAGAGCGGATGCACATGAACCACCTCTTGTGAAAACAAACTACCATTGGCAGGAATTTCATGTCTTGTCTGCGCTCGTTGGCCAACAATTGGAGTGATGCTGTAGATTGTGGGTATTTTGCTGATGAGCCAAACAGACTTAAGTGTTCCCATTCCACCTCTCCCCTCACATTGACTCTGAGCAGTTCTGTTAAGACTCACACTCTGTTCCCAATACTAAAACTATATTTAGTGCCCATCATGCGTCCATCTGCCTGACCCATCCATCTTTTTGTTCAGATGTAAACCCTTGACCATCATCAAGTTTGTCCAATCACCAGTCAGCTTTATAGCCCCTAATAAATCACCCAGATGACTGAGTTCCTCAAAAAAGAAAAGTCATGTGTAGTTAATAAGGGGCCATGTATCCACAGTAAGTAACTTTTTACAGTACACGTTTCTATGGGTACAGAGTATGTACAGTCTATGGTACAGAGCTAACTGTATTAAAGTTTTTGTTTCTGTCATCTGACCATTGAAAGCAACCTCATGACCATTAGTCACTCTTTGGGTTTGGCGGTGAATAATCCTTTCAACACTTGAGAAAGTTTTATTGGTGACTCAACTCCACTCGATTTCCGCGTTGACTATCTCTGAGGAGGTGGCTTTTATAGCGCTTTGTGCCTCTCTACTGGCTGGGGAATGAGATGGATGAATGGCAGCTGTGGCATGAATCTGCAGCCTCTGCCATGCCCAGTCCAGCTGTAACCGTGTTTCTCACTAGCTTGCAAGTTCATCCAGTTTACATGTCCCCACATGCTTGGCATGTGTAATGATTCTCAGTGGTCCTGATTGCATTTTCCTGTTTTTATCCACTTAACTTCCATCTTGATTTTTTTTCCCCTTGTGTCCACCATTCCTCCCCTTTAGCTGGCCACTTCCCCAGCTGGAGCCCAGTCAGATTAGACTGATAGTGTACCAGGACTGTGAGAGGCGTGGCAGAAATGTCCTCTTCGACTCCAATGCCAAGAAAAAGGGCACGGAGGAAACCCCCATCACCGTGAGTCACATGTTTACTTGGCGTTTGTGTATTTTTGGTCCTCTAAAAGCCCTTGCATGATTGCTTTGATTAACCTATGGTCTCTCTTATACACTCTGTAGTACATGTCAACCAGACCGTGTGCATGTGACTGACGATAACCCTTATTTGCTATCAGGATACATGCAAACACATAAAAAAAAAAGCTTTTTAAAATGTCACATTTTATCACATCTCTTCATCAGTGCCTTCATTTGATTTTCCCTGCAAATGATGACACACTGTCACCATCGCTGGCCTTTTTAAAATCTGCACAACTTGTTTAACATGTAAGCCAGCGGCATGTTGCCAGCTAACCTCGACCGGTTTGTTCTGGTGCTCTTATCTCCAGTAATAATAGCCTCAGCTGACCGCCCGTGTGTAAGCAGCATTCTTTCATCCTCACATGATGGGCGTGTCACTCACTCACCGTCGTTATTATTCATCTCTCTCTTTTCCTCGATGATCCTAATCTCTCTCTGTTCTGGTGTCATTTCAAAATGTGACCTTTTAAATTTTTATTTTATCATGGTACTTGATTGTGTAGATTTCTGTTTCTTGGTCTTTTTTCCTTCACTGCCCATTTAAATTTCTACGTACTTTTGTTCTTTTCTTTGCTTCTCGAGCTTCTCGTTTAACTTCTGCCTCCCCGGCATTGAAATTGGAATACTTGCTTAAAATTTTCACCTGATTTTCTTTAAACTACTGAAGCGTCACATGTAAATAACACTGTCGTCACATGTAGTTTCACATTTTGTTTAAAGGAAACACTTTAAAAAAAAGGAAAATCTGTGCATTAAAGCCTTAATTATACGTGTTACACGATAGGCTGTTCATTATTTTGATGCATCTGCAGTGCTAGTGGTTTGCCAGCTGCTTTGTGAGTTTTATCACATGACTGTTTTTGTCAGCTCATTGGAATGAATTTTAGATCAACGGCTTGAACGTTCAAAGCACGTAGAGAAAATGAGGGATCAAGCTACAGATGATTATTAAACAAGGGTCAGAATGGATCAGAAATGAAGATGTCCAGGTGGTGAAGTTTGGGGGAAAATATAATGTCAGGAAAGGGTTTGAGAATAAAAGTAAAGGTGAATAAGTGGAGAAAAGAGACGTCTTATAGGAATTAGAGAGGGCTGTGGAGTTTAGAGGCAGAGGAGAGGGAGATAAGCAGGGAGTGATTGCAGCGCTGCTCAGTCACGAGTTCTCCAGGAGTCATATGACTTGCTGTCACATGCTGCTGGACTCTGTGTATATTCCTCACACTGCACTGCAGCAAACACACACACCCATGCTCAAACTCGGCGCCATAAACTCGTCCGTCTGCACAAACAGAAAAACGTGCACACATTTTTTTAATCAGGTGGTGACTGCATCTTTAGAGGATGAAGCAACAGTTCTCTTCCTTTTGTCTCCCCTCATTCTGGTTGCTACAGTGGTTTCAGCTGAGCTGAAAACACACGCGCACGCACGCACGCACGCACACACACACACACACACACACACACACACACACACACACACACACACACACACACACACACACACACACACACCCCCTCCCCAATGCATTCCTCCTGAATAGGCTGCCAAGTAAAGAAGGCACATGACTCTGGCTGATTGAGCTCACATTGCTGTCAGTTAGCTGTTTACCCAAGTGCCTCTGGATTAGGTTTCTGTGTTTTATGACCCACACAGTTTGACTTCATGTCATTTTCCCCATGACAAATGAAGCTGTCATTATATGCTCACTTTGGAGCAGTAAATGTATTTATGGAACGTTTTTGAAAACTAATATGCACTATATATATGTTTTATTTTTAAAGTAATTTTAGTGCATATTTCAGAGTCAAATGAGCTTTTAGGTTATCTGAAATAATCTTTGTCTGTGACTTGAAGAGCGCTGATACCCAGGTGAAGATGTTTGGGAAATGCTGCCACCTCCGTCCGACACGAGGCAGCAGCAGTTCCCTGGACAGCTCCTCGTCGTGTGCCTCTGATGCCAGAGAATCCAAGGATCAGGGCCTCCGCTTCCAGGTAAAGCAACACCCTGCAGTAACAACACGCGTCCAAAAGCTGCAAGTGGATAGTCTAAACTTGACCTTTTTCAGGTTAATGCAATAAAACATTGTTTTCTTCCTCAGGGTTCAAGGTGTTCCTCTGATGTAGTAATGCTGGGGGAGATGATGTTTGGCTCCGTAGCCATGAGCTATAAAGGGTCCACTCTCAAAATCCACCAGATCAGGTAAATAAGCAATAAACCAGTGACTAATTGTCTTTTTTTACTTTAAAAATATTCATAATGTTGGAAATTTGGAAAAATCAGTTTCATGTGACTAAGGGAACAAACATCTGTGTTTATATCTAAGTCTTGTTAGGATTTCTGTGACTGAACAATAGGGGTGTGTGTTGGCACGAATCTGGCGATGAGATATGAATTGCGACTCGATATCACAACACCAAAAGCCAGATGGTTTTTGTGATTTCAAGACTGAATTTGATTCGAAAACTTTGTTCAGAGGCTTCTAAAGCCGTTTTTACATAACAATGCCATCAATTTCCACCAGGGTTAGGGTTAGGTTGTATATGAGTGATCAGACAGACAGTTACTGCAATATTACTACCAAGCGAGGCACAACAACTTGATTTATCAGCACCGTGTCTTCAGAAAGGGCTTAAGACGCAGAATAAAGGCGGTAAAGCACCACACCAAAGGAATGCAGTAAATGTTTACATGTAAAGTCTCAATAACAAAAATACTACAGGGTATCCGCGGGTCCTTAAAAAGTCTTAAAAAGTCTTAAATTTACTTTTCCAAATTTAAGGCCTTGAAAATCCTTAAAAATGACAAATAATCCTTAAATACAGTTTCCAAAGGTCTTAAATTACCAAAGACCCAATAAACTAGATTATTTTATTTCTATGACATTTTCGTGAATTTCAGCATTTTTTGTGTACGATGTTGGCGTAAGCGGAACCATACACATTCAGTTGGTTGTGAAAGGGGACTATTTTTAGATGAGCACGTTAGCTGGTTAAGCTAGTGGGAGCTTGCGCCATGGAGAAGTGCAAGTTTAATGGTAACTGGATGGCTAATCCCACGTTCGCGACGTGGTTAGCACCGGTTCCAGGCAATAGCTGTAAATTATAGCTTAAAATTAATTAAAAAAATAGCTTAAATTTGGATCTGGATCGAAAGGAGTCAGTTGAGGTGGTTTGGGCATCTTGTCAGGATGCCTCCTGGACGCCTCCCTGGGGAGGCGTTTCGGGCATGTCCTGCCGGCAGGAGGCCGCCGGGTCGACCCAGGACACGTTGGAGAGGTTACATCTCCAATCTGGTCCGGGAACGCCTTGGGGTCCTGCCGGAGGAGCTGGTGGAGGTGGCCAGGGAGAGGACGGTCTGGTGCTCCCTAGTTGTGATGCTGCCCCCATGACCCGTACCCGGATAAGCAGAGGAAGATGACGACAAGCTTAAATTTGGTCAAAGTGGCCTTAAAAAAGGTCTTAAAAAGTCTTAAATTTGGCTCCCTTAAACCTGCAGATACCCTGTACTATTTTAAATGTAGATTCAGTATCATAACACAAAATATTGCGATATTTCAATGTATCAATATTTTCTTACATCTCTACTGAACAAGTACACGACCATGTCTGCAGCTGCTGCCTTTCTGCGTGGTTAGCATGTTGTCCCTGTGCGTGTGTGGGGTTTTCTCCGGGCGCTTTGGTTTCCTCTAACATGCAAGTTGGGTCATTTAACTACGTTGCTGTATTCACCATTCTAAGGCACTGCTGATAAAAGCATCAGCTAAGTGAATAAACAGGAAGGAAGGATAACTGCAGGTGAAGCAGTAGCTTACATCCCACGGTTGCAGGTGGTTGTTCTGTGGACTGTGCACGAGTGCAGCCCTCATTAATAAACCAGAACGTCTGCAGTAAACAGACTCATTAGGGTTACGCTCACATGCTCACATCTTTGTTCCTCTGTTATCCCAACGTCAGATCACCACCTCAGCTGATGCTGAGCAAGGTCTTCACCGCCAGGACAGGAAGCAGTGTGTACGGCAGTTTCAACACGTAAGCACTCGCATGCGCAGCACACACAGTTTCAATAATAAAAGTGTCGTGTTACATTTTTCTTTTTGGGTGGTTTTGTTGTTTAATCCCCACAGGCTACAGGACAGTCTGGAGTTTATCGGACAGGAGAGCAATACCTTAAGGCCAGATCAAAGCACCGGGCCCAGCAGTCTTTTAGGTAACCAAGGCAACCTAACACCACACCAAACCTTCCATATGTGATTTCTCCTCCTGTTTAGGTCATTATACCTTTATTTTAGGAGTTTTCCCATTTAAACAAACTACGCCGGAAAGGCTCGTCCAACATCTTTGACCTAAGTTTCCACTCGTCTTGTGAGCAGAACGTTTAAAATCCACACGATTTCTGAGCGAAAACGGCTTAGTCAACTTAACTTTCAAACACTGCTGACGTGTTTGCTACTTCCCTCGGTCTCATGACAGCACTCGTTGCTGGTGACGAATGTCCGTTATCAGTTTCTCAACCTTACACAACAGTTTGGAGTTTTTGACTCCGGCTCAGAAAGTAGAAGCAGTAGTATTAGAATGTTGGTCAGTTCTGTCCTGTTATGTATGAAGTTTCTTTTGATTCAGTGGCTCTGACACCCTGCCCGGATAATGGTACAATAATAAAATGTGTTAACGGTGTTTTCTGTGAGCGATGCTTGCTGTTTTGTTTAGCCGATTTCCTTCCAGACTAAAAATCTCCCGTAACTAACCAGATGGTTGGACCGCTGGATACTTCTAGCTTTCCCCCTCCGTTCATTCGCTAATCATGGTTCATGTTTTTGTCTCTTTGCCCCTCTACTCTCTCTCTTTATTTTTCTCTCTCTTCCATTTGTTTGTTTGTGGCCCAGGATTTTCTCAGCTCTGCAGCCCTCGACGGGCCTTCTCTGAACAGGGCCCGCTGCGCCTCATCAAGAGCGCCTCTTTCTTTTCAGGTTGGCGCTCAACACTGGCCACAGTTGCTGTGCGCCAGTTGCATGTATGCACAGAGGCTGTAGCTGGAGTAGTGGCAGTTTTTCAGGATGTGACTCTTTAGTGTGGCGTGCATGAGTGGGAAAATCTTACCCCGGCTTTCCACAGGAGCCGTCAGCAGCACGTTACTGCAGCAGCACGTCATAGCTTCTTATAGGAACCGCTGTGGTCAACAGAACCTTTTCCACTGGAGCCGTCAGCAGCCGTCAGCAGCGCGAGTCGGCCGCGTCTCAGGAGCAGCATGTCGCGGCCTTTACGCGCCGGTTCTATTTTCTACGTGCGACGCCTCTGAAACGGGTCAAGTTCGACATTTTTGGGGAAGGAAAGACAGGAAATCGGACACGGAAATGGAGAGAAGCTCCCGAGATTTTCAGAATAAAGAACGTACTGCCTTCCGGTTGCTTTACTTTTAAGAGAAGTTACTAACTGTGCGGCCCTGTGAGAAGTTATCACCTAGCTAGCGGTCTCCTTTGTTTTTCAGGTCCGTGTTGGCGATTATAAAACGGACAGAACATAAAACACAAAACTTTTGGAGCCATGTTGTAGTTTTCTCCTGCTTGTTGTTGTGTTTACTGACGAAGTCACTCGTGTGACTTCGTGCTCTGTCGGTGACAGCTGCTCCCCTGCTGATTCGCGTCTCGTGGGAAGGGCCAAGCAGCAGTTTACGCGAGCAAGACGTGCTGCTGCAGTAACGTGCTGCTGACGGCTCCCGTGGAAACCCGGGGTTAGTGGTGGTTAGCAGCCAGAAACAGCATGTCTGATGATTGACCTGGGTCATTTAGTTCAGGCTGGCAAAACTTGAGAAGTATTTTTCATCTTGTAACAAAAAAGAAGCTCGTTTCGATTTGTCAGGACGTTTAGATTTGGAATGACTCAGTGGTCACAAGGGAATTAAACCATTTCTGTCATTTTCCTCATTTTATTTTTTTAACCAGTATATTTTTTTAAGGAAATCATAAACATGCCAGCCAGTGGTATGTGACCCAGATGTGTTGCATGTTAATCAGCTGCATGGGGAAAGGTGTTAGTGGCTGTAGTGTATCTTCCTTTCCTTGTCATTCAATCTTGCTTTGACCAGCGTGTCTTTGTCTGTAGCTCTTATGCAATGTTTTAGGCTTTGTTTGCAGTGGGAAGTAGACTTTTAAGACTTTACCGGTCATTTATAACTGTCTAAGCTTGTTTATTTAGGAGAAATCTTACACATCAGTGCAGCTTAATAGTCTTTAAAAAAAAAAAAAAAAAAAAAAAGCAAAAGCGATGACTTGTTTTAACATCTGGCCCAGATTACTCTCAGTATTTATTGTACAGTGCTTCCTTTGTTCTCTTCTACATATGTTTAAGATTTTTGGATTTTGTGTTTTTGAAATCCGGTCTGTGAGGCCACAGCCTTCCCACATTCGCTTTTAATTCTTTTATTTTTTCCCTCACTAATAAGAGTTACTTTATGCCTCAACTCACTCGTTTTGCCTTGGTTAAATGCTACTAAACGAATTTGGTACTAATCATAAACATCTGTAACTAACCTTAAAGCAGCAACACAGTTCACGTTGGTTTAAATTACAGAGCTCATTTGTTGCTTTTGCTACCCTTTTTTCACGGGTTGGGACTATTGGGGGCGACATCCACAGGGAGGTTTTTCTATAATTGTGTCTAAATGAGTGTGAGCTTTCCAAGTTTCCTCATGTTGGTTGCATGACCTCACTCTCTGACTCCCACTGATAGTTATTAACTCCCAGCAGTGAAACTTCCTGTTACTGAAGTTGCTAAATGTTCCGTGTGCTAATCAGCCCTTTAGCGGGAGAGTTGGCACTTGTAGCTCGGATGTGGGATGAATCAATTACGTAACCACTACAGTCAAACAAACCTAAGAGTGGGTTTGTGCTTGGTTTTATTCATCACAATTAACTCATTCTCATCGTTTAGTGTCCTTCTTTTTTTCTTGCCATCTCACTTATTTTTTCTTCTTCTTCCTCCTTTCAGGCCACAGTCACCCGATGGACATGCCAGGCCGAGGTCCACACGATGAGAGGGACAGCGGCATCGCCAGATCAGGTCCGTTAATGAGACTAGCACTCAAAGCCAGGGTTGACCTGCACTTGCAGCAGCTTTCAGTCCCGTAGCTGAGATCTGAAACTTACCCAAGTTTGTCCTGAAGATGAAAATGTGCCAGAGAACAAAAACCAACACGCATACATCACATCTTGCACGACGAACCTGAGCTTCTAAAAATAGTTTCAGGGTTTTTTTCCTCTCTCTAGAATGTGTGTGATGTAGCTGAGTGTATTTTTCTCTCAGCTTTTCCTGTGGTTTACCTGCTATAGCTTGACTTGCATAACCACCAGGAAGTTTAACCAGAGGGCCTTAGCTAGAAGCGCTACTTCTGTGCTGCAGAGAAACTCATGCCAGAGCTTTCTGTCCTGTTCCAAGGCAAGGCTGATGGCAAGAAGAGACTCTCATTAAAAAGCACGAAAACAAAATTATAAATGGCCTGTATTTGATATAGTGCCTTCTAGAGTCCTGGAACCCCCCAAGGCGCTTTACAACACAACCAGTCATTCACCCATTCACACACACATTCACACCCTGGTGGGGATGAGCTACGATATAGCCACAGCTGCCCTGGGACGCACTGACAGAGGCGAGAAAGAATAATCAGTGATTGTTGGTATAAAGGGTATTTTAGATGTTTATGTAACTTCCACAGATTTAGAATCTGACATCTGCCCTCACCCCTCCCCTCACAAACATCAATACGTCCGGTTGGCACGACCGGTCACATGGAGGTGATTAAATATAGCAGCTCTCAAAACCAGCTACTAGTAAACGAGCTTCTAATTCAGGCATCATCCTCACAGCTGCGCT